TTTCTTCAAATTTAAGAGATTTTGGTCTTGTCTTTGGTTTTGCAGGAAAACTAAGGCATATATTAAAAAGCGGGCAACGCTATCTTTTTCCTATTCAAAAAACGATAAAATTGCCAGAATCTGAAGACTGGGTTGCTAATCCTTTGACGTGAGGAGAATTGAGTAACTCCACCCCAAGGTGGACCGAGATCTGGGATTGGGTCACGGATTCGGTTAAAACTTTGTGGGTTCAATAGGTACCACTAGGACCTACCAACCCTAAAAGGAAAGTTGGCTAGCTCAAATAGAACCTGAGATATTTGCATTTTTCTAAATTTGACTAATTTAGCGGGAAAATGTCGCTTTCTGATTTTTTAATAGTAAAAGTTGTTTGCTTAGTTCTAGCTTGTGTTTCTTCTTTCTAGTCATAAAAAAAAGAAAAAAAATGGTGGTAGGCCAAGTTTTGTACGTTGCTTGGTTTGGCCTACTTAAGCAATTTTGTCGAATTCATCGAAACTCTCATACCCAAAATACTCCACCTTAGATTTGACCCTGGTATATCTCATTTCACTTCTTTTACTCCAATAAACAATTGCTATATAGTCCCTAGCACCAACAATTCCATATAAGCCAGAAAAATCAAAAACACATTTTTAATTTTCTACTTTGACCTATTTTTGGCGCTTTTGTCGAGATTGGGGCTTCTACATGAGCTTGAGTGATAGGAAAGATCCTCCCTGCCCTCAATTTAGATAGTATCAACACAAACAAAGAAACCCAAACTCAAGGTGCACTAAAAATTTATAATGAAATTGTTTCGAGCAAATTTTACAAGTTTACGAGGGGTGTGAGGAATTTAAATCGGAGGAAATGTGATGCTTCAGCCAAAAGTGGATTTGTGGTTCATTAGTTAGCTTTCTCCAGTAGGATTGGTGCTCTTTTAAACATGAGAATGTTTCTCCGTGGTAATCAGTTATACAACTCTCATTTGGTATGGGGTTGTTGGACTAACGATTTCAACGCATTAACAAAGTAATGACCCATTTATTTAGGTTGTTTGCAACGTATAAGTTCAACCGCTTAGTCTCAATAACTCAGCCTGGTTCCATTTGGTTTGTAAATTTTTGAGACTAACTGGATGACTTAAGACTAAGGGGTGCAGCTTACAAGTTGTGAACAACCCAAGTAAATGGATCATTACTTGGTAATGCATTGAAATCGTCAGTCCAACAACCCCATACCAAATGAGGGTTTTATCACTGATTATCAAGGAGAAACATTCTCATGGTTAAAAGAGCACTAATCCCACTAGAGAAAGCTAACTAATGAACCACAAATCCACTTTTGGCTGAAGCATCACATTTTCCTCCGATTTAAATTTCTCATACCCCTCGTAAACTTGTAAAATTTGCTCGAAACAATTTCATTATAAATTTTTAGTGCACCTTGAGTTTGGGTTTCTTTGTTTGTGTTGATACTATCTAAATTGAGGGCAGGGAGGATCTTTCCTATCACTCAAGCTCATGTAGAAGCCCCAATCTTGACAAAAGCGCCAAAAATAGGTCAAAGTAGAAAATTGAAAAATGTGTTTTTGATTTTTCTGGCTTATATGGAATTGTTGGTGCTAGGGACTATATAGCAATTGTTTATTAGAGTAAAAGAAGTGAAATGAGACGTACCAGGGTCAAATCTAAGGTGGAGTATTTTGGGTATGAGAGTTTCGATAAATTTGACAAAATTGCTTAAGTAGGCCAAACCAAGCAACGTACAAAACTTGGCCTACCACCATTTTTCTTCTTTTTTTATGACTAGAAAGAAGAAACACAAGCCAGAACTAAGCAAACAACTTTTACTATTAAAAAATCAGAAAGCGACATTTTCCCGCTAAATTAGTCAAATTTAGAAAAATGCAAATATCTCAGGTTCTATTTGAGCTAGCCAACTTTCCTTTTAGGGTTGGTAGGTCCTAGTGGTAGCTATTGAACCCACAAAGTTTGAACCGAATCCGTGACCCGATCCCAGATCTCGGTCCACCTTGGGGTGGAGTTACTCCCCTTACCCCTTAATTGCGACATCTGACACAGGTATTTAAAAAATGTCAAATAGCCACCTTTCACTCTTCAATAACCTTAAGATGCTATTGCCTATAATACCCTCAGTGGGCCAGAAGACCGTTGGAAGCTGCCAACATTCTAGACGCGTTTTGGCCGCTGAGTCGGTAAACTCGTCGATAAACTCAATGGCTCGAAGTTACTGGAACCATGCCTTTGAAGGGCGTGAACGATTTACGCTCCCTGGAACGCCGTGAATCGTTTAATGTCTTTGGAACGGCATTGAAATTTTGACGGAAAGTCCTGTACCAATTTACACCCTTCCGAAACGCTTTTAACGATTCAGGCCCTTAAAGGGCGTGAGAGACTGATTATGCCCTTGAGGGTGTCATTAACATGCCTTTGTTTTAACCGTGCAGGACTTAAACCGAACATGTGACCCCACCAACGGGTTCCTCGCTCGGAGAGTACTCTCTTTATTGGTAAAGTCTAACGTTCAGTGACTGTGAAGCTCATAACGGGGGCTAGAATTTTGGCCACCAATTTTGTCCTCGGCATTGTTGAGAAACGGTTGTGCAGAAACTATCATATGAGTGAGACGTTCCAAAACACAGAATATCATCATGAACCAAATGGGGAAACAAATGCCGTTGAATCTGAAAAGTGACAATTTGTCGTAGAAGAACAAAATTCTTGTTATCACCATTAACAATACAATTTGTGTGCAAACATCTTATGCCGTATCTGCTCAATTAAAACAAATGATGAATGATATTAGAATTATCATGTATTTTATTCTCTTAAGTCTTAGGGAAATTTAGAGACCACTAAATTATGCGCGTGCGTAATCGCATATTTTGTTAAAGTATGAGAAAAAGACAAAAGAAAGACAGTTTAACATGTTTTAAGTAGGTCTACACCGGAAACAAGACCGCATAATGACGCATAATCTAAGCACAAACGCAACATAACGCATACTTGCATATTATGCGCATAAAGTCACGTATTCCCGCATAAACTACCTATTAGGCCTCCAAAATCCCGTAAAATACGCCGATTTACAGCTTTTGACGCGCCACCGATTTAAAAATACGCGCCCTTTGATTCCTGCGCCTAGTACTCTATACTCGTCACGTCGCGCAGTCCACCGCCCCGCCTCGCCCCCTCCACCCGTCTCGCGTTCTCGCCCGTTCCAGCATGTTCGACGAGGTTATGGACTTCGAGTAGTGAGTGAGTTTGCCGACAGACGCAAGTGTTGTTCATATTGTGGTGGTGTTTTGGGGGCACGTGATAATAACATTAAATACTTTTTTATGAGCTAATTCTACTATTTGTCATTCCGCTCCTATTTTCCTCCTTCGCATATTTTTGCATAAAACCACAATTTTACCCGCATAAACCCCGCATAAAACTACATTTTTAGGCGCATAAAGTCCGCATAAATGGGTTAAAATGTGGCGCATAAAATGATGATTCTATATGCATAATTTAGTGGTCTCTAGGGAAATTACAGTTATAACAAGAACCATGAAGTATAAATCTAGCGACAAATTTTTTTTGACTGACAATACTTGTCGTTGATTAAAATTATTTGTTGTTAATCAACGACTTGTCTTTGAAGGTGGACTGTCAATATGTTATGACAAGTTTGTCGTCGTGAATTTATCCCTAAGTTCCAATACGACAACATTTTAAGGGGAGGTTCTGGTGAAAATCTTGTTATTTTCCAAATGGATCGCACTGTCACAATTTGTTCGGAATATAAAATCTTTCTTTGAGGAGACTAAAATTTGACTTTTGAAGGCACATGCCAGGCTCTGAACCCAGTCGACGAGTCTTTTTGAGCCTATTTTGGCTGTATCTTAAAAAATCTTCTTGCGCATACTATTTTGTCGTAGAAGGTTGACCTTGACATTTTTCACTTCTTCGATTCATTTTCAAAAGATGCCGGCATGCATAGCTCAAAATTTCCATTACATTATTAACTGTAAGCTTTTTAAGCTGAAAAGTCCTTAAAACTTGTTCATTTTGTACATTTTGGGTCAATTATAGTGAAATGCTTGGTTTGAAAGCTTGCGAATAAAAATGTAATTTACGTTTCGAGTTCTGCATGCCGGCATCTTTTAAAAATTAATCGAAGAAGTGAAAAATGTCAAGGGCAACCTTTTACGACAAAATAGTATGCGCAAGAAGATTTTTAAAGTTTAAGCCTAAATAGGAGAAAAAGGCTCTGCGACTGGGTTCAGCGCACAAAATGTGCCTCCCCATTGAAAAATTTTAATAATTACTTGGTAAACATTTAATTTTTAACAAATTTTCACAGTGGGACCTATTTAGGACCAATACTTGGATTGGCAGTGGGATCGTTCACATAATCAATCTCTTTATGTTGCTTTGATGTGCTGGGATCATCTGGGTCTGCTTCTGAGTCTTCAACAGGTGAAGAGCTACAAAATAACAACAAATTAGTACAGGAATTCTAAACAGCAACAGAGACTGACAATGGCACTCAAGAGACACAACTGTGGCAAAGGGTGATGTGTTTACATCAATTACTGGTGTGTGACCAAGAGCATTGGCAGGGTGCATGCAATAACCAATGACCCACAGTCGTGTGATGGTGTCGGAAGGGACGAATGATGACAAGTGATGAGTGATGAGAAAATGTGTTGCTTAGTTTCTCTAGCTTGTTTCCAGTAAAATGTGCATTTATGAAAAGAAAAGAGGCAGGCTTGTAGCCACTGACTTGTTTAGTAAATTAAAACTGATTTATCTGGAAGTCTGTTTGCTAACTGAGGCAAGACAGTACGGATTTAAATAACATGGTTTAGACTGAGACCCAAGCTTAGCTTGATGGCAAATCAGTAAAAATACAGCAAACAACTAAACTAAAATTAACTGAGAGACAGCTTTGCTTTGCTTGCTGACAAAATAATAAGTAATAGAGTAAAGAAAATGGTCTCGTTAGTTACGCACAGAAACACAGCTAACAAGAGAAGGTGGAAATTGGTCGTTTAGGATCCAATCCGGACTCCTCTGGAATGTGTAGCTCTGAAAACCAGCCATAACAAAACACAGTTTTAAATTTGTTTTTACAGAGCAATACTGGCGTTGTGTGCAAATTGACTACATACCTGTTGGCATCTTCAGTGAGTCTCTTCTCCTCCAACAGCGCACGCTTGATAGACTCATTAGCATGTTGCTCAATAGCAGGCCCAATCCTGGCTTCAGATCGCTTTATGGTGTGATGATTCACTGCAGGAATATTCATGCTGGTAATGAGTGTGTTGAGCTGTTCATGGCCAACACCGCTGTCCACACAACCTGAAACAAGCGCACACAAAATGTAAACAGTGCATTGTGGTGAGGTTATGTTCCTCGTGGCTAAGAGGGCCACGCGCCAATTCACGTCACTAACAGAGCACTGACATGGCACAACCTTCATTACATACCTGTCGCTGCTTTCATGTTCACGGACCACAAGGGATAAGAGCTGTTTGGTACACGAATAAGCTTCGAAGTTGGAACTTGCACCAGGTCCAAGCACGTCACGCAGCGGACGTGGAGGATGGAGGCGAGGCCCCGGTGGATTTCTTTCTCCATGTTCTTCAGCGTCAGCGAGGCATTACAAGTTTTGCACCATAGGTTATTGGCTAAAACAGCCAGGTCGATGAAACGTGTCCCAACACTCTGCAGCTCTCGATCTTCATCCTGCAGCTTCTTCTTAGCTTGTCTGATAGCATTCAACTCCTTGGCATGCTCCGAAAACTTCTTGCGACGCTCAACTTCACCTTTCTTCGCAAATCGTCCACTCTTAGCACGCGCTGGAGGCATAACGAACGCCAAACGACTTGATGTTTAAACTGGCAGGAGATGTTTTCTCGATGGCGACCAGACAGAAAGCGGTCGGCCACCTGAAAGAAATAGGAGCCGAGGGGTGGGGGCGCTGGAGGGGAGGGGCTCCTACCCTACGGCCATCCGGAGGGGACCCGGGGTGTCGAAACTAAACGGTCCAACCTATCCTAACCTAACCTAACGCGCTCGCGACAGATCTTTTTCTAACTCGCGACAGATCTTTCTCTAACTCGCGACAGATCTTTCTCTAACTCGCGGCAGATCATTCTCTAACTCGCGATAGATCTTCCCGCCAAACGCGACCGAAAAAAAAAAAGCACGGAGGTGGGTTTGAACCCGTGCCTGCAGGGTGTGGCCCGAGGACGCTGGTCCCCACACCACCGGGACTGCTGGTTCGAGAGGCGCCTGGCTGCATCCAGTATCGGCCACAGCGCCGCTCCCCCCCACCCCAGCGGTCCCGTACCCCCACCCCCCCCGAAGCTCGCGGCTCCTCCCCTCGACGCGCGCGGGCTCCTATTTCTTTCAGGTGGTGAACCGGACAGCAAGAGACAGCTGTGAGCGCAGCGCCAAGGCCAATATGGCGGACGGACCGGCAATGGCTTGATGCCAACCGCACGACGCGAAACGATGCATTTTCGAATTACTTTAACCCATTACGGCGTGTTTCCCATAATAAACAAGGTAGGTTTACGCCAGACCGCGTCTTGTCGTAACAGGCTTCGCGATGTCTCGCTGCCTGTTCCTCCAATCCGCGCCTGACGGACCTACCTTGGCCTGCGGCGCTAGCCTGCCTTCGGCAGGCCATGGCTTGCCCATCGTCGGTTACTTCTAAATTGTTGCATACTGGGGGGCTCCGCCCCGCAGACCCCCCTTCATTCCAGATAGAGTTGCTTCATCCACAGATAACACGATCTTGACCCTTGTTACTTTTCAACTTGCCGGGGCTGGGGGGCTCTGCCCCCCTGACCCCCCTTTCTTCAAGGCAGAAGATATTTGCCGGCAGAAAACTCGATTTTCGCCGTTTCTTAGGTGTTTTTCGGCTATAAAAACTGAACCAGTTGAGCTAGGATAGTGAAATTTCGCGTGTGCCGAGCCAAGGACATACCCAAAAAGTGTGCAAAATCTCAGCCAGATCGGCCGAGCCGTTCAGGAGGAGTAGTGCTGACAGACAGACAGACACACAGACAGACAGACAGACAGACAAAACTTTTCAACCCCACCTGAGTAACGGGCTTCGCTATCGCTCAGCCAATAACTTATGTAATGGTTTCATCACTTATTGTTTCGAGAAAAAATAAGTTATTGTCGCATAAAAAATCTAAATAAAAATAACGACAGCACCTTGTCTCATTTCACCGTTAGGTTCACGTCAGGATAAAACCTAGTCAAAAGGGCAACTAACTCATTCGGAAATAAATATTTCAAACTGTTTTGAGGTAAAAGTTATAAAATTAGAGAGCACAGAACAATCATATTAACCTGTTTCAATTTTTTAAATAAGCTCACATAGGTTTTTAGTCATTTTCTTGAAACCACCAAAATTGATGCACTTGACTAGGCCGAATCTCGTCCGAACCACCTTAACAAGGTAATCGTTGCAAACAAATCTTGTCGCAATAATAATTGGCAACAAATGTGTTGCCAAGTTAACGACACAATTTTTTCGAGAGTGTGCTTCTGTTCCGCGCCTCACCGAGGATGTCGTTCTGGGGCAGCCACTTGGCCACCTTGACGTTGGGCGGTAGCTTGTCCTGGATGTCGTTGTCCTCGTAATTCCAGAGCACGCGCTGCTTGAGGCGGCCGAAGGCGCGCAGGATGGCGTCGCGCCGCTCCTTGCGAATCATGCTGGCCCTGCGGAAGGCGCCGCACGGTTAGAAAGACGACCCACAATGAAAAAAAAAGGCATAATACGAGGGGATCAAAGGATCTTATCTGTGCGTTCCCCCCAAGAGAATCTTATCTCAAACGCAGGCAAATTTCGCTCATTTTGATCATTTGCTACAGCCGCAAATCACTATAATTTGTGATTTAATTCACTGTTATCTGAGGATGGAAGACGAAAGACACCAAAAGTGCGTGTAGAAATACATTCCGCAAACTGTCGTGTCCGTCACATATGGTCAAGATGAGTGAAACTCGCCTGCGTTAAAGATAAGATTCTCTTGGGGGGAACGCCCAGATAAGATCTTTTGAATAGGACCCCTCGACATGCCCTGACAGGGCGCAAATCGGTTACATCCCCGTCTATACACTGCAAATCCAAGTGTAGGACAGGTCGACACTTTAAAGCGTAGACCAGTTTCTCCTACGCTTGCAAGTGTCGACCAGTTATGTCCGACGCTTCGAAGTGTCGACCACACTGTGTCCGACGCCTGCATGTGTAGGATACTGTTTGTCCTACACTCTAAATGTAGGGTGTCCAGAAACTGGGCGCCTTTGTCGCCTGCTCCACTTTTTAGGGTGCCAAATGTCGCCCAGTTTCTGGGCACCTTTGTCGCCTAGTCTCGGGGTGAGCAAACCATTAGGGAACCAGCCTTCACCCATGGCTCAGCAGCGACTAAGGTGCCAAAGGTGCCCAGACTCTGGGCACCTTAGTCGCCCAGGAACTAGACATCTGTGCATGCTCTACCATGGGAGAGGGCCGGTTACTGCATGATTAGTCCACCCCGAGACTGGGCGACAAAGGTGCCCAGAAACTGGGCGACATTTGGCACCCTAAAAAGTGGGGCAGGCGACAAAGGCGCCCAGTTTCTGGGCACCCCATATTTAGAGTGTACGGCAAATTGCACTGAGTTTCCTATTGTGGCGCCACACTTCAGCCGTCGGACATTCTGTGGTCGACACTTGCAGGTGTCGGACAGTGTGTGGTCGACACTTCAAAGCGTCGGACACTACTGGTCGACACTTGCAAGCGTAGGACAAACTGGTCTACGCTTTAAAGTGTCGACCTGTCCGACACTTGGATGTGCAGTGTAGGAAGGCACTGTAGATGTCTTGAGGTGAAACGCTACCAAATTGTGCTGGAGATTTTATCTATAATACAAAAGAAACTCTTCAAAATATTCTCAATAGTAAGTTATTGAGACAGAGAGGTGATCGAAAACTCAGCGTTCATAAATTTCACATTCTAAAATGTTTAAAGGCTTTATTTACTGTTTCGGACAAAATACAACTCCAACTCTTACTTAAAAATTAGATAATGTTTATGGTTTTGAACTTGTGAGTACACTGAGAGTGGACCACTTCGTATACACATGAGGACACCACTACACCAGTGATTCACCCCTCGGATGCCCGCGTTTCCGGATCCGCCACTGCAGTCTAAATGTTGTACAGAGAAGATTCTTCATATTATGGTGGTGCAGCTGACTTTATAACATACCATTGGGAACTCACTGTATGTACCTTATAGATACTTTGACGAATTTCGTTTGAATTATGGAGAACATCTCCACCATAACATGTTATGGTGCAGCCTTTCACCGTAATACATTTACAGTGTGCCTGGGCCGCGACCTACTTGACGTTGGTGCCGAAGGCCATGTAGACGAAGCCGTGCGGGGCGTTCTTCTCGCCGACCCAGTCCTGCAGGTCCTTGGGCAGTGGCTTCGGCGCCTTGGCCTGCAGCCCACCCACTTACGGATGTGCGAAAGGTTCAGCACCGAATTAAATCGAACCACTAAGGCTCGATTCGATTTGCTGAGTTGGACCTCGACTTCAGTTCTAGGCTAAGGGTTGAGTTAAGACTGGAAGAAAAGTTCAAATAGTTCCCTAGTTCGACTTGAGTCGGCAACTCTATTCAAATTCTATTCGGTAAGGTTTTGCCTGATCGGTTCAGCAACTTTTAATTACCGGATGGGAATTCGATTCAAACAAATAATTCAAGATTCGCTTCGACCCACCTCAACGACGGCGGGCACCGTAGGCATGCCGCCGTGCAGTGGGGGACTCGTGTTCGCCAGGCTGATGGCCAAGTCCTTCTCCAGCTCCTCCAGCGTGGGGGCGCCCAGGAACGCCTGGAAGACAAATCGTGAGATCGACGTCTACCGTCAACGGATAATTTGGGACCATTTCAGACCTTCACGCTAAGAACCTTCCAAAGTATTTTGAGCGCATTTGCTGATAACAACCTAATTCGAGGGGTCCTATTCAAAAGATCTTATCTGCGCGTTCCCCCCAAGACAATCTTATCTTAAACGCAGGCGAATTCCACTCAGTTTGGTCATTTAATACAGCTACAAATCAATATCATTTGTGATAAAATTCACTGAAATGTGGAGATGACAGATAAAAGAAACCAAAAGTACATGTAAAAATCTATTCCGCTTACTCTCGTACGTGTCCCAACTGGTCAAACTGGGTGAAATCCGCATGCGTTTAAGATAAGATTGTCTTGGGGGGAACGCGCAGATAAGATCTTTTGAATAGGACCCCTCGAATTTAGTCTTTTACAAACTCGCAAATTAAGAACTATTTTCTTTGAAAGCTTACATGCTCAAAATACTTTTTTTTCTATGAAGCTACTGGACTTAGTGAGGCTGAAAAAGTTCGTAAGATTTTCGCAGTGTTTGAACCCCAAGTTTGGTCACTTGGGGTGCTATACTACAGAGGTCATGCACTTTTCTTGCTGATATACCATTCATTTGTCGATGTGAAGTTTACATGATAAATTCCTTAGTACGATTCGGTGACCGTTGGGCGTAAAGGGCATGGCAGGGTATGAAGGTAACATTGGGAAACAATTTTGAGCGTAAACATATAGTGTTTAACAGGATAGTCATAAATGAACATAAAATTATACAATTCTGTTCATTGCACGATAAAAATACTCTAAATAGTTCGAAAAGTTTTAAGCGATTCATGGTTTGCGTTACAGAAATAGTAAGATACGTGCCTGCAGTTTTTCAAAAGAAATTTTTACGAAAAGTTAATTTGCACAAAAAACTGTGATGTCTCGCAGAAAATTGTGCCAAACAGTTGGTGTGTTCCCCACAATAACTGTCTCATGGCCCCAGTAACGGTATGAAAGGGGTACATTGTGGTTGGG